TTTTGCAAACCTCGACAGCGACTGACCCTAGAGCTCCGTCGCATAAAAAATCCATGGTGGACGGAGAAGGCGAAGCAGATGAAATGATACGCCGAACGTCGCCAACACAAGGAATCTTTTGACTATTTGAAGGCGGTGTATAGACCAAGATTGGAGCCGTTGAGGACGCTGATCGATGGTAACTCAGGCGCTACCTGCACACAGACTGCAGGCATAATGCAGATCTGGCGGAAACACTTCGACTGTCTCTTGAACAACGGTTCAGAGATCGACTGGCCTACATTGAACGGCCTGAAGCAGGACGATGTGAAGACAAGTCTGGCGGACACGCCGGCACTGAATGAGACGCAGAGAGCACTTGCTCAGCTGCAAAATGGAAAGTGCGCAGGGGCCGACAGGATCCCGCCTGAAGTATTGAAATACGGTGGACCCGCGTTGGTGACTGCGCTGCACCACGCGGTGCAACGCGTATGGATTGACGAGCAGGTGTCTCCTCCGCTGAAGGATGCCCTTGTGCTACCACTGTACAAGGGCAGAGGTAGCAAGCAATGTTGCACGAATTATCGTGATATAAGCTTGCTTTTGTCTGGGCAAGTTGATTGCTCGAATCCTGCTCAACCGCCTCGTCAGTCAGGCTGTGGAACCTAAGGTGGCGGAAGAGCAGTGTGGATTTCGTTCCGGTCACAGCACTATAGATATGGTATTTGCGGCTCGTCAGTTGCAGGAGAAGTGCAGAGAACGACACCAGCCGTTGTACTCGTTTTTTTGTTGATTTCACCAAGGCATTTGATGCGGTGAACCGCGAGGCATTGTGGCTGGTGTTAGGTTAGTTTGGTTGCGTGCGTAAGTTTGGTTGAATGTCTTCACAGTGGTATGCGAGTGAGGGTGAAGCTGCGTGGAGAGACCTCGGATGACTTTGCAGTTGTCTCTGGTGTGAAGCATGGCTGCGTCTTAGCTCCTGCCCTGTTTAACATATATCTTCATGCCATTATGTCTTTTGCCTTTGATTCGACTTGTGCTTCCGGTGTTCGTGTGGAGCACCGTATTGATAGTGGGTTGCTGAACGTCCGTCGTTTCGATGCGAGAACTCTGGTCCGTGAGACAACTATCCGTTTGTTGCTGTTTGCTGACGACTATGCGTTGTTTGCACACAGCGCGGATGAGTTGCAGCATATGACTAGTGCTCTGGCTTCGACAGCGACCAAATTCGGGCTCACCATCAACACAAGCAAAACTGTCTGTCTTTTTCAGCCTTCACCTGAGTTGCAATCTTCAATATTGCCGCGAATCAGCATTGATGCTGTAGTATTAGAAACCACCTACCGCATCTGCTACCTTGGAGTGTGATGTCGATTGACCAGCAGCTACACGGTGAGATTCGTATCCGCGTGTCGAAGGCAGGGGCGGCATTTGGGAAGCAAGAATACTGGGTGCGGAACAATAATCAGCTTACGATGGGCAAGAATCTGATGGTGTACAAATCCATGGTGCTGTCCGTTCTTCTATACGGCAGTGAAATGTGGACGATGTACCGGCGGGATGTGCGATATCTCGAGCGTTCCATCAACAGTGTTTGCGATGGATTATACGAATCGGATGGTGCGAAAAAGTAGCTGACGCGGAAGTGTTGCGACAAAGTGGGATGTATGCGGTGGACTGCATACTTCTGCTGACACACCTGAGGTGGCTCGGTCATGTGAGCCGTATGGATTCGACAAGGATACCGAAACAACTCTTATATGGTCATATGAGTATTGGGAAGCGGCATGCGGGGAAACCGAAGTTACGTTACCAGGACATGATCAAAGTGAGCCTCTCACGTTCTAATCTTTATTGTAGCACATGGAATCGAAGGCGGTTGATCGGCGTGCTCGGCGCGATCTAATCACGAAGGTAGTTGCCGAAGTGCGGGAGAATGACTTCATACATGCAGAGAAGAAGCTGCAAGTGCGGAAGCGGCAAGCAACGATGGATTGTACTCCATCGACATCGAGTGCATGGTGCTGTAGCACATGTGGTCGCGAGTGCCTGAGTCAGGCAGGCCTAGTGAGCCCTGAGCGAGGCCACTCGGGACCACCACCGATGCTACGACGGGTCCTATAGAGAATGTAGGGCGAACCTGCACACCGTTTGTAGGTACGATGCATTCGGTTTACTAACCATGTGTTTCCATGCTGTCCCCTTATTTCCGGTGGTGCGTTTGCAATTTTGTCCTATTGCTTTTATTTCTCATAGTATTTTCTACTTATACTATATTACTTAATGTTGCACACGTTGCTGAAACTAATTGTAGTTAATTTGGATAACATTTTCGAGTTGGTGGCATTTTCTTATAATTTGTCTTCTCACCTCTTTAACTTATCGCGGATTCTTACGTATCCATATTTTTACGCTGCTATTTTTTGAAGAGTTATGTCTCCGTATCTGTATGCATTATCCGATTTATTTTATTTCCTCTTGTGGTTTCAAGTGATAGGTTGTTTTTTTGATATCCCCAGTGTAACTGCGTTTGTTGTGCATGTTGACAAGGTGCCTACCTGTCTGTTACCCACTACCTCCTCCATACTGGCTCCAGGAGACAGTTGGTCGTTGCTGGAGAGGACAGGGTACACTGTTCTTGTGGCCGTGTTAGGATCAAAGAGTGGTTCCATGCACTCCGTGTGGAGCGGACTACGGTCCAGCCACCGCTTTGTGTGCGCATGATTCCCCAAATACAGCGTGCTTGTTTTGGCCTGTGAAGGAGTATGGGCTGGCTCCGTTGATGAAACCTGGCTCCTATCCGCATGCCTCCCGGTCTTATTCTTTCGGGTTTACGCTGGATATGTGGTGTGTTGATGGTGCACAGCAAGCTACCCATGGTCCTTCTGTAGGCGCAGGCGTCCTGTAGCTGGTCACAGTGACAGGATAATCCGAACCCGGAGGCCGCCAACCATATAATGACAGGTTGTTAATAAATACCTTAGCCCTTCGGTAGAGTATATGTCTACATCTGCCTACGGTTGAGTAATGGGATGTTACCCAAGCAACTTCTTGGAGGTTTGCCAATATAGTTTAACCTTTTGTCAAAAGTGGAATGTAGGACATCGAACAGTGGGATTCCCTAGATGTATTATTGCTGTGATCGCATCTACGAGGCCATCAGAGTATGTATGATATTACCGCCTTCTAACGCTGCAGTTAAGGCATGGAACTTCCCTCGGAAATCCACACATACCTCGGAAAGGAGACGATCTTATCGGTCCAGTCTTAAACGGTGATGGCAGGCCGAGACTGCTGCTAACAGCTCGTCGCAATCACTCGCTGTGCGACTACCATCAGCACTGTAATCCCAACTTCACATATAGTAAGCGGCATCGACAATACACTCTGACGATAAGTCATCACTGTTTTGCTGCACCTCTTGTTTTTGCACCATTCCACCTGGTAGCTGCATTGATGGCATTTGCTTCCCTATTCCTATATCTGTCTCTATCCATTGTTAATGCCCACAATTCGGACTAACTTTAAGGCTGCCATTTAGCTTCCAGTCCAAACGTTAACTAAACAACGACAGTCGTCTTGGTTGCGATTTTCCAAAACTGATAGGAGTATGATTGTTCTTCTTACATTCAATCCAAACTCCCACACGTTCGTAGTGTTGTCGTCCATGAGAGTTACTGGTTCTCCATTCCGTTTGTGGTAGTACATACACAATTGTGAACAAATGTCTGCTCGCAACACTGCAGTACTGCAACTTGAAACCGGGACCTTCTGTATGTCAACTGATCTCTCTACTTGCAGCGGACGGTGCTGGTCACCATGTTCAGTGACTAAGTGGAAGCCATTTAGAAGCACTTTTAAGCGCCACACTTCAGCTTGACAGACTGACTGCATTTTCACACGCGTGACATAATTATCTGATGGCTCGATGTCTAACTGGGGCTCGCCCAAATTACAGGTAGCGATAGCATCTGTTCGCGTCTCGTGACGTTCTCACTTGACGAATGGATTTTATTACATTTCATCTCGTGTAACACCTTGATTTTATTGCGGGTTGCAATATGACGTTAACGTAGCCCATGTCAAGAATCTCTATACACCACCTTGTATTACTGTCCCCTACAAGCACACGCATTTACATTTCATTACTTGAAATCAGTTGGTAGATTACATGATCCTCTCTTGATTATGTGTTCGTTACTAGCACAACGCTTTGAGAGCCGGTGCATCGCAAGATAAAAGTGCAGTCTATCCATGATCTCATTCGCATTTAACGTTTGTTTTAGCAAATTTCCGAAAAGTATCTTGGCTAAGATCCCATTACTCAACCCTAGGCAGATGTAGCTATATAGCCTACTGTGGCGATAAGCTGTTTACTAACAATCTGGCGTCATACATTTCGGTTGCAACTATTCTGCGCTACAAATCAATTGTTTCTATGCGCTGATTTCTTTTTCGATGAAATGTACTAAGACACTACAGTTCCATCACAGTTTAACTTACTTCTCAGTCAATCTTGAGGAGGATATTTCTAATTATGATTCCAGCAGGCGCCTTTGCCCTTCCGCCTGTATGTTCAGTATGGCAGGTGAACCACGGAAAATATCGCTACACTCAATCGCATGCCAAACACGTAGAACGGAACAAGTGGTATCAAAGGCACGAAGATCGCTTGTCAGTTACTTGCCGGGATTGTTCACCTTACATTGATGAACCAACGTGGACACTTGCAACGAAGGTTGTTTGGCCCTGAACCCCAAAATTCCAAACTGCGCTCTAAAAACGAGTAAGCGTTGTAGAGTATTTGGGCTCCAGGGATAATTGTTGATCACTACATCCAAATCTTCACTCGAATGCAATAACGGATGTGGAATGTTGGAAGCAGCAAGCGCTTGGTAGCTTGGAGCTGACCCGCTCTTAACTGAATCAGACTGCAAGCCGTGCTGGATAATCGGCACACAACAACCACCGTTTCAAGCGCTGCCTGGTAGCTCATGTTTTCCTTTCGTCTATTTTTTCAGGATTTGTTTCACAGCTAGCGAAAGGGGCCATATGCCGGTTATCCTGTCAATGGTCAGTGTGACCAACTTGACACCGATTCCTTCGGTTCTGGCTGTGGTAAGCAGTCTTTGTTCCACTTTATTGTTCCAAACGATCACCTTTTCGAGTCATCCTTTTTAATCTCGCTCTTATCAACGGTTCAGTCCGTTTTGTTTTACTTAATGCTTCTCTTCCCCTCGTTTTCCGCACTAACTCTTCAGTCTCTGATCGTCGAATACTTTTAAATTCCTGCGATTCAATCAATTACTCGTTTCCCATGGTTCATCTACCTTCGCGAGTCCGTGGGATTCCGCCTTGCAGACGCCAGTGACTTACCCCTAATTACCTTTGTTCTTCTAACCGAATGGTTATACTGTTGATGTATCATCTTGTTCTGACTAAGCCGTACCACTGAGGTTCCGCGCCGTCCACGTTTGAGCGTCAAAAGCGTGATTGTGCACTTGCCATATACGATATCTTAGGGTTTTCACTTTCGTGTTTTACTTTTTTGTTGTTGGGACAATGGGAACATGTCAGCGCCATTACTTTAGCGACCAGTGCGGTGGCTAGATCTGAGTATGTTCCCAACGGCACACATTTATGAATATCCACCTCGTTTCCTCAGCGAACGCAGACTGCGGCCGTAGTGCGTACTTGATTAACCTCAGAACCCCTTCGCTGCTATTGTCAACCGGCGCAAATGTGCGGTATATACTAGTGCATGCCTTCACCGGAGGTGCAGTCTGCAATATTGCCGTGAATCAGCATTGGTGCTGAAGTATTGGAAACCACCTCCCGCTTCTGCTACCTTGGGAGTTTGATGTCGACTGACCAGCAGCTACACAGTGAGCTTCGTATCCGCGTGTCGAAGGCAGCGGCGGCATTCGGGAAGCTAGAATACCGAGTATGGAACAACCATCAGCTTACGATTGGCACGAAGCTGATGGTGTACAAATCCATGGTGCTGTCCGTTCTTCTATACGGCAGTGAAACGTGGATGGTGTATCGGCGAGATGTGCGATATCTCGAGCGGTTCCATCAACAGTGTTTGCGACGGATTCTGCGCATCGGATGGGGCGACAGAGTTGCTGACACGGAAGTGTTGCGTCGAAGTGGAATGTATGCAGTGGACTGCATACTTTTGCTGAGACACCTGAGGTGGCTCGGTCATGTGAGCCGAAGCAACTCTTATATGGTCAGCTGAGTATAGGGAAGCGGCACGTGGGAAACCGAAGTTACGTTACTAGGACATGATTCAAGTGAGCCACTTGTAGTTATTTCGATAACATTTTCGTGTTTGTAGCATTTCCTTAAAATAAACTTCCTGACCTTGTGAACTTACCTCGTATTCGTTGGAAAACAACTTATTTCATATGCTCATTAATTTGAGATTTTGTCACGTTTCCTTACGCATTACTGGATTCAATTTCTTTGTTATCTTTCTCTCAAGTGACTGGCTACTGCTTGATATCCCCGGTGCGGCTGCACTTGATGTGCACGTTGACAAGGTGTCTACATGTCTATTACCCACTATCTCGTCCATACTGGCTCTAGGAGACAGTTGGTCATTGCTGGAGGGGACGGGGTGCACGGTACTTGTGGCCGTGTTAGGCTCGAAGAGTGGTTCCATGCACTCCGTGTGGAGCGGACTACGGTCCAGCCAACGCCTTGTGTGCGATTGTATCCCAACTACTATGGTTGACGGCTTCCCGTTTCGGATTTGCCTGTCACTGTGACCAGCCAGAGGACGCCTGCGCCTACAGAGGGACCATGGGGTGGCTTGCGCTGCACCACCCACCACCACCACACCCCATATCCAGTGTAAACCCGAAGCAATAAGACCGGAGGGCATGTGGATAGGAGCCACGTTTCATCAACGGAGCCGGCGCACACTCCTTCACAGGCAAACTTGTGCTTCCGGTGTTCGTGTGGAGCACCGTATTGATAGTGGGTTGCTGAACGTCCGTCGTTTCGATGCGAGAACTCAGGTCCGTAAGACAACTATCCGTTTGTTGCTGTTTGCTGACGACTATGCGTTGTTTGCACACAGCGCGGATGAGTTACAACATATGACTAGTGCTCTGGCTTCGACAGCAATCAAATTCGGGCTCACCATCAACACAAGCAAAACTGTCTGCCTCTTTCAGCCTTCACCGGAGTTGCAATCTTCGATATTGCCGCGAATCAGCATTGGTGCTGAAGTATTGGAAACCACCTCCCACTTCTGAGTGTGATGTCGACTGACCAGCAGCTACACAGTGAGCTGCGTATCACCGTGGCGAATGCAGCGGCGGCATTCGGGAAGCTAGAATACCCAGTGTGGAACAACCATCAGCTTACGATAGGCCCGAATCTGATGGTGTACAAATCCATGGTGCTGTCCGTTCTTCTATACGGCAGTGAAATGTGGACGATGTACCGGCGGGATGTGCGATATCTCGAGCCGTTCCATCAACAGTGTTTTTGGCGGATTCTGTGAATCGGATGGGGCGACAGAGTTGCTGACACGGAAATGTTGCGTCGAAGTGGGATGTATGCGGTGGACTTCATACTTCAGCTGACACACCTGAGGTGGCTCGGTCATCTGAGCCGTATGGATTCGACAAGGATACCGAAACAACTATTATATGGTCAGCTGAGTATTGGGAAGCGGCATGTGGGGAAACCAAAGTCACGTTACCAGGACATGATCAAAGTGAGCCTCTCACGTTCTAATCTTGATTGCAGGTCATGGAATCGAAGGCGGTTGATCGGCGTGCATGGCGCGATCTACTCACGAAGGCAGTTGCCGAAGTGCAGGAGAATGACCTCATACATGCAGAGAAGAAGCGGCAAGTGCGGAAGCGGCAAGCAGCGATGGGTTGTACTCTATCGACATCGAGTGCATGGTGCTGTAGCACATGTGGTCGCGAGTGCCTGAGTCAGGCAGGCCTAGTGAGCCCTGAGCGAGGCCACTCGGGACCACCACCGATGCTACGACGGGTCCTATAGAGAACGTAGGGCGAACCTGCACACCGTTTGTAGGTACGATGCATTCGGTTTACTAACCATGTGCTTCCATGCTGTCCCCTTATTCCCGGTGGTGCGTTTGCAATTTTGTCCTATTGCTTTTATTTCTCATAGTATTTTCTACTTATACTATATTGCTTAATGTTGCACACGTTGCTGAAACTAACTGTAGTTAATTTCGATAACATTTTCGAGTTGGTGGCATTTTCTTATAATTTGTCTTCTCACCTCTTTAACTTATCGCGGATTCTTACGTATCCATATTTTTACGCTGCTATTTTTTGAAGAGTTATGTCTCCGTATCTGTATGCATTATCCGATTTATTTTATTTCCTCTTGTGGTTTCAAGTGATAGGTTGTTTTTTTGATATCCCCAGTGTAACTGCGTTTGTTGTGCATGTTGACAAGGTGCCTACCTGTCTGTTACCCACTACCTCCTCCATACTGGCTCCAGGAGACAGTTGGTCGTTGCTGGAGAGGACAGGGTACACTGTTCTTGTGGCCGTGTTAGGATCAAAGAGTGGTTCCATGCACTCCGTGTGGAGCGGACTACGGTCCAGCCACCGCTTTGTGTGCGCTTGATTCCCCAAATACAGCGTGCTTGTTTTTGCCTGTGAAGGAGTATGGGCTGGCTCCGTTGATGAAACCTGGCTCTTATCCGCATGCCTCCCGGTCTTATTCTTTCGGGTTTACGCTGGATATGTGGTGTGTTGATGGTGCACAGCAAGCTACCCATGGTCCTTCTGTAGGCGCAGGCGTCCTGTAGCTGGTCACAGTGACAGGATAATCCGAACCCGGAGGCCGCCAACCATATAATGACAGGTTGTTAATAAATACCTTAGCCCTTCGGTAGAGTATATGTCTACATCTGCCTACGGTTGAGTAATGGGATGTTACCCAAGCAACTTCTTGGAGGTTTGCCAATATAGTTTAACCTTTTGTCAAAAGTGGAATGTAGGACATCGAACAGTGGGATTCCCTAGATGTATTATTGCTGTGATCGCATCTACGAGGCCATCAGAGTATGTATGATATTACCGCCTTCTAACGCTGCAGTTAAGGCATGGAACTTCCCTCGGAAATCCACACATACCTCGGAAAGGAGACGATCTTATCGGTCCAGTCTTAAACGGTGATGGCAGGCCGAGACTGCTGCTAACAGCTCGTCGCAATCACTCGCTGTGCGACTACCATCAGCACTGTAATCCCAACTTCACATATAGTAAGCGGCATCGACAATACACTCTGACGATAAGTCATCACTGTTTTGCTGCACCTCTTGTTTTTGCACCATTCCACCTGGTAGCTGCATTGATGGCATTTGCTTCCCTATTCCTATATCTGTCTCTATCCATTGTTAATGCCCACAATTCGGACTAACTTTAAGGCTGCCATTTAGCTTCCAGTCCAAACGTTAACTAAACAACGACAGTCGTCTTGGTTGCGATTTTCCAAAACTGATAGGAGTATGATTGTTCTTCTTACATTCAATCCAAACTCCCACACGTTCGTAGTGTTGTCGTCCATGAGAGTTACTGGTTCTCCATTCCGTTTGTGGTAGTACATACACAGTTGTGAACAAATGTCTGCTCGCAACACTGCAGTACTGCAACTTGAAACCGGGACCTTTTGTATGTCAACTGATCTCTCTACTTGCAGCGGACGGTGCTGGTCACCATGTTCAGTGACTAAGTGGAAGCCATTTAGAAGCACTTTTAAGCGCCACACTTCAGCTTGACAGACTGACTGCATTTTCACACGTAACACTATTATCTGATGGCTCGATGTCTAACTGGGGCTCGCCCAAATTACAGGTAGCGATAGCATCTGTTCGTGTCTCGTGACGTTCTCACTTGACGAATGGATTTTATTACATTTCATCTCGTGTAACACCTTGATTTTATTGCGGGTTGCAATATGACGTTAACGTAGCCCATGTCAAGAATCTCTATACACCACCTTGTATTACTGTCCCCTTCAAGCACACGCATTTACATTTCATTACTTGAAATCAGTTGATAGATTACATGATCCTCTCTTGATTATGTGTTCGTTACTAGCACAACGCT